TTGGACATGCCAGGACTAGCTCGCCAGTAGGCTTAATTTTGCGCTGCAACAGATCGAAGTTCTATTTGGGACTCGTCAAAAGAAGGAGGGCCTGGAGGCGGTTTGCTTTTCCGGGCAGTGGCGCGGTTGAGGGGTGCGATAGCTGTTTGGTTGGGATGCTTGTTGAGCTGGTTGCATAATGTCCGGGTGATCTGGGCGTCCTGCTACGCATGGATTGGCCAGCATTTAAAATGCTGCTCCGAGAGTGAAGCCAAAGCAGAAGATGCGATATTCGTGGCCACGAACAGTCCCACATACCACGAATAGCAGCACCGTCCAGGCATTCATTGTGGCTGTCCAATGTCAGCAGTCAAACACTCAGCGCCGCAGACTGTTTGAGGTTGTTTGCCTGCGCCTCATGTGTTCGGTGTTTGTGCTCGTCGCCGAAGCGCTCATCCGCTTTCTCGCCGCTATCACTCACTGCTAGTCAGCGCTTAGGTGGGTTCATTTCCAACGGATTTTACTGACATCGCGTCCATCCGATGCAGCCTTATTGTTGACGTAAGTGTCCGTCAACGGGACACTTACGCAGCCTTCGTTGTATCGCTTTCAGCCATTGGTCACTTTTCTGCCTCTATGAGTGACCACGTTCCATGTGCATACGTCGGTGCTTTTAACACATTGGTAGTGGTGATGCCGACAGGCCCTTTTCAACTACCATTTGACGGCGTCGGCTGTGAAATTTAGACCAATCGACATATCTCCCTTTTATTTCCGGTCGGTGGCTGGAGATTTTGGTGTATATTCGAAATTTGACCGAACTTCCTCCAACCTGCTACAGTACATCGGCAGTCTGATTGTGGGCGTGCCGAAACTTTGCTTCATTTTCGAGCCAGCTTTCTTACTTCGTGCGTTGAGATCTTGCAGCATCTAATTTATCTCACGAGGCCTATTCGTAGTGAGAAATGCGACGTCTACGAATGCTGAAGATGATTTAGCTGGTCTAATTGTCCTGTCAGGCGAAATATTATCTCGTAACAAACTGTGAAGAGGGCTTGGATGATATGGAATTCCCCTTCCTCACGCTCCTCGCACTCGGTATTTCTGAAGAGCTGCATTCGCTTCCTCAGGCAGCTCTAATTCCGATCCGCCCATAACGGCTGGTTGCAAACCATTCAGCTGCACGCCGTTCAGTGATTTTTCATAATTGGCGAGTAGGAACGGAGAGGAAGTTGGTACTTCCTTGCGCTTCTCATCTGCTTGTTTAAAGCTAAAATTTGACCCGTTACGCTGTATTTACTACGGTATCTAGTGTGTTTCTTTCATTTCTGTTTGCCTTGGACTCTTGTCAGTCGATCAGCGTGTCATGTAAGTGTTGAGCAGATAAAACAGTAATTTTTAGATCTTCTTTGTCTCTCCTAGTCCGGTTTCCGACTTTCTCGCCATTTCCCCTTTCCTGGGTCAAGTACCGACCGAACCGGGCATCTCATATTTCGTCCTGACTGGACTTTTACTTGGAATACTACTCTTACCTTACTGATAAGTAGAACCTTCATTGCTGGCGTGGATTAGAGATGCTGGAAGGCCAAAACATAATGCAGGCAGATTTGTGTAAACTTGTCCTTACCCATCGTATCTCTTTGGTCCGTAACTCGGCGTTCATTTCTATGTTTTTTGCGTCTGTGCAATGGAAGCACATTTTATGGAAAGGTTGTCTCTGTTCATTTGCTTATTTCTTTGTGCTTTTCTGCATATTTCGACTTCCAGATCTCTGGGAGCTATGGAGTTGTAATTCCGTTAGCTTATTTCATTACTGTGGGCGCGTCCTGAAATACAAAATAAGTGGCCGTTTTCTCCATAATCTCGTATGTTGATACGTAGGAGATGTTGCAGATAATTCTGTGACTAAAACAACTAAAAAGAAATTTTGCATTTATGATGTGCAGTCGTATGCGAATAAATATACGTCCTTTCCCAAGAGAACCTGAGCCTCATTTCGTGCCACTCAGTAGCTCGAGCTTTCACAGTGTTATTCATCCTACCTTCAGTGTAATCACATGTGCGCTGCGCAATGGATATTATTGCGCCGACTAGCTCCTCGTGCATGCTTTCAGACACTCGGCTGCGTTAGGAGCGTTTGGAAAGTTATAGCACTCAACAAGCGGCATCGTCCTGCTATGCCTGCTCGGTATATTTTTGTGCGTTTTTTACATCTGTGCAATGCGAAAACGCATGTTGTCGAAGGGCTGTCTCTGTATGTGCGCCTGTACCGATTTTTCATCTCGAGACCTACAAACGCTACAAGGCTGAAACTTTGTGGACTTAATCTACATGCACGCACGGGCCTCTATCCCCAAAATGGACACTCTTGCCCACATCGTTCCTACGTACGGGCCCGTGAAAGTTTTTTGTGGGCACCTGAAATTCGGGAACCTGAAAAACTAGGAAACTGGAATTTTGAGGGGATGTTCCCCACTCACGTAAGACTTGATGATTCCAAACCCAGCTCCAGGTATGCTTGGTTCCCACGTATGGGGCCGTGAAAATTTTTGGTGAGTGAGTTGCTGACTCGGGAGCCAGAAAAGCTAGAAAGCTGAAATTTTAAGGGAATATTTCCTCACACTCTTGATGGCCAGTCTTAATTCCTTTAGCTAGAAGCATTTGCCGAAAAAAAACAGTGCCACTAGCGATAAAAACCTGCGGGGAACTGTGCAAAAAACATGTCTTCGCATCGGCAGTCGGTGCGTTGACCAGTTATTTTGATTTCGATAGTATGAAGTTTTCGCGCGCGAATCAGTCGATTTTGAGACTGCATTCTTGACCGGTTCGAACAGCCTGCAAAACTCGAAATCCCCGATAGTTTAAGAACCGACCATAAGCTCGCTCTAAGACTGTTTTTACAGTTACTCTTACAGTGTATGTGCTTGAAAAAGGATTGCGAAAGAAAAAATTCGTTATCTTTTTCTTCCTCCTTTCTGTCAGCGGTTCTGCGTTTGATCTTCGAGTTGAAGACAATGGAAGTATGATCAGTCGAGGAGGAATGAATTCAAGTACGGGCCGTTTTTTATTCCTTTACGAGCCGGCATTTGGTCTTGGAATTCTATTAACCCTTCACTCCGACTCTGTGGATCTTAGAAGTGTCGTAGATTTCGTGGATGCTTGGCGGTTTAATGGCGCATGGACTGATTTTAATTGTTGGAAATTTACCTTCAGTTACTTGACTGTCTTACACTTAGAATAGTTTTTTACAGTCATTCGTATAGCAGGTTGCTGATTCCAGAAGCTTCGTATAATTTACTGTAATTCATACTATGAGTTCTCCAGGACGCAGAAGCTTGTAACTGCAGAAGATAGAGCGCACTGATTGCTGATAGTTGATCAGCCCGTGTTGTTTCTGTTTTCTTGGACGACCCATCCACTTGCCTTTGGGCATCAGTTCTACTTCCTCAGTATTATCTTGTTGAACGCAGTGACGTGCAGATGTGGGATGTTGATTACTGGTGGAAACGGAAGAAACGAAGAGAGACGGAAAGGATGGAAATGCAGTTACATGTGGGGATGGTGTCTTGGCCAAATGTGGGTATTGTGTTGCAGCCCCAGTCTTAGTAATTTGTGGCTGTCATGTGTGTATGGTGAAAAGTCCTCGTCGTATAGTTATCCTCCTCTGATATTACATATTCTGGCAATTAAAACTAAGTCTTGACTCGGCCGGGCAAAATGCACTCGTTTTTGAGCTTGGAGGATAGTTGCGAAAATCGCAATCGTACCCAAGTATTGGTTTTTATGCGTTTTTTGCAGCAATGCAATGCGAAAAACGCATATTGACGAGAGGTTGTCTGTGTTTCGATTTTTTGTTGTTATATATTTCCTCCGTTTTTATGCGTTTTTTGCAGCAGTGCAATGCGAAAAACGCATATTGACGAGAGGTTGTCTGTGTGATTTTTATGCGTTTTTTGCAGCAATGCAATGCGAAAAACGCATATTGACGAGAGGTTGTCTGTGTGTTCGTGTGTCTGTGTGCCTGTGTGTGCGTCTGTCACGCACTTTCATCTCCGGACCTATAAAAGCTGCGATGTGTCTGTGTGTGCGCTGGGCCTCTGTATCGGTTTTTCATCTCGAGACCGGCAAAAGCTACGGAGCTGAAACTTTGGGGACTTGTGCGTGTGTGTGTGCGCTGCGCGTCTGTACCGATTTTTATGCGTTTTGTGCTGTGTAACAGCGTCTGTGTGTGCGCTGCGCGTCTGTACCGATTTTTCATCTCGAGATCGGCAAAAGCTACGGGGCTGAAATTTGGGGACTTAATCTGCATGCACGTATGGGCCCCTATCCCCAAAATGGGCGGTCTTTCCCGCGTGGTACCCCCGTAGGACCCCGCCAAAGTTTTTTTGCCCAAAATGGGCGGTCTTTCCCGCGTGGTACCCCCGTAAGACCCCGCCAAAGTTTTTTACGGGTAACCCTATCTCCAAAATGGGCGGTCTTTCCCGCGTGGTACCCCCGTAAGACCCCGCCAAAGTTTTTTACGGGGAAGGCTGTAACTCGCGAACCAGAAAAGCTAGGGAGCTGAAGTTTTATGGGAATGTTCCCCGTCCAGGTAGGTACTAATGAGCTCAAATCCAGCCCCCGGGTAAGCGTGGTACCCGCGTACGAGCCCCTCCAAAATTCTTTCCCGCGTAAATTCATAACTCGGGGTTCTAAGACGCTAGAAAGCTGAAATTTTAGGGTAATGTTCCCCGTCCAAGCAGGTGCTAATGAGCTCAAACCTAGCCCCCGGCTAAGCGTGGTACCCGCGTACGGGTCCCCCAAAATTCTTCCCGCGTGAATTCATAACTCGGG